CCCTCTCCAGAACAGATGGACTCTGACGGTGACTAGAGGTGAAATTATTTCACAGCCTTTGACTCTGTGATGTAATGTTTATATGCTTCCTAATTCTACACGTATTCACATGTTCTTTTTACTCAATTGATAAACTAGTGAAATTCTCTGACAAAAGTGCAGTTCATCTACAATTTTGGGTGAAACTATGTCCATTTTAAGTTGAATCTGACTTTGGGGGTTGATTTGCGTCGCTAGAGAAAATAGCTTTCAACATATCATTTGTTTTATTGTTGGGGATCAATTTACCACAGGAGTCAGTGAATAACATACATCATTGAAAAGACGATGTAAAAAGCTTTCATATGATGAAACATGACCATGTTGAAGAATTATATTAGATCTTTATTTTGAAAACAGGTCGAAATGGCAGCTGTCTTGAAATTTAAGATGGCCACTATAGATGCTCATAGAAAAACTTGAAACATAATATTTCTTTATGATTTTACCATTTTTGGTGTTTTTAAGCATTCCTGCAATTATCCCACTCATCCACAACATTAACATGACCCACCACCATATCCCAAGAAGTAATTTTCCTCAATATTGTTTTTTGGGGGTTCGGGTTACATTGTATACAATAGCGCAGCCCCTATATAATATATTTTCATTTAGTTTTCTGTATAGGATGGCACAATAGTTCAGGCAGATTTTAATACACGGCTATAGTGGTTTTGTTGTCACAATTTAATGGTTTTAGTATTTTACTTACTCACAAGATTTGAAAATGCACAAAAAAAAAGATTTTTTATCAATGATTTCACTGAGAATTAGAATAACAGTTAAACGAAACAAAATGTTTGCCACATTCAGATTACCGAAGATATTACCTGTAATCGAAGACATAATTCGGATAGTTTAATGACTTAATAAAAATGTTACAGCCAAAGTTGTCAAATTATGCATTTTTCCTTCAATTTATGCAATTTTGACCCCCTGAAAACTCATGCAAGCTTACTGCCCATTGGAAATCATGTGCAGATGGCTCCTTCATGCAATAGAAAAAGGTTTAAGTATACAGGAAAAAGTGGGAACGACAATCATAACTAAACTTTTTTTCCACTAGTGGCAAACTGACTAGATGTGATGGTGCGAAGTGCTGTGGACCGTGAATGGGCGATTGCATGTAACAGTTTGCAACACAGTGTGGCACTCACAGATTTTCTGTTAATATTAGCATAAGTAATTAGTATTAATATTAACATTTAGATATTAATATATAATATATAGTGTATATCGTGTCTGATGTTGTTGGCATTAGTATTAATAGTAGCATGTTGTCTCTGTTTTTACACGCAGTAATAAGAGCGTAGACCTCGTGTATGCATATCCTATAATGCAATTCAGATGACGTTTCATGTTCTTTTTTTATTTGTTTTATTTTATAATCTTCTTATTGAGTGTTATTGTGTATTTCAGGGTGTAAAAATATAAACACACTATTTGATGACTAGCAAGTCATCAAATAAGCGGAACTCTCATTCGTATAGCAGTGTTGTTAATTTATTCAGCCACGCCCACACCTGCTACAACAGGACCCTTCAGGTCGTGGTGACGTTCCTCCGCCTGCAAACCTGCAACAGCGCGTCGGAGTGTGTAATGGCATGTGACTTTCAAAAAGGTCCCTCACATACTCCGTTCAACATAGGGGTATTATTTGATTTGTTTACTGGTGTCTGGTTAGAAAGATTCTTCCATTAAATGCCACAGTATCTGAAATTACCCAATGTCAGTGTGTTCTGGTTGTCTTTGTAGTCACTGAGATATGATGGAACCCCCGGACAGAGAAATATAGCACACACCTGCCAAGGACCACGTCATCAAGCCCCAAGGGAGGGGGGAGAATTGAAGAGAGGGAAGAAAGATATCTGGAGGTTCTGAAACATATATAGCAATGATCTTTATGACCTCGAGACATGATGAAAAAAGGTGTCATGTGTATGCCAGGAGATGATGGCACAAGCATCCATCAACTGTTGAGAGCTGCCCAAACAAAGAGGGCATTTATGAATCCCAGTAATAACTGGTGATAGAGTATTTCAAGCAATAGCCAAAATATCCGTTTTAGTTGTATAGAGGATATTTGCAGATTAAATGTAATATTGCGTGTGTTTCTGTAGTGATGTCATCAACAAAATGATTAAATACATGTTTGACAAGTTAGAAGTCAGTGGAGTTGGGCAGCTGAAATATGAGGCTTCACATGTTGAGTCAGTCGGTTTAGGCGTCTTACCAACTAAACCACAGCCTCGGTGGCATTCGTGACCAACTCGTGTTATTCCGGGACAAGCCGAATAGCGACTCGTGCCCCTCTCGTGGCCATTTTTGCGACCGGGTTCCGTCTTAGCGCAAACGGGCATACCTAGAACAATTGTCAACTTGTTGCGTAATGGTTCACATATATTTCCCCGAATATTATATATATATTTCAGATGCAATTTAAAGCACATCTGGACATGCTGAATTATACAGTATGTTTAAACACATTTAACTGTGTCTTGGGTATATTTTTAGATGCAAGACATATGTAAAATCAAATATTATTTCTGAGGGATTCTTTGACGAAGAACTTGAAATCATACGCGCATTCTGATTGGTTTGTCGTATTTTCGCACATAACATTCATCGGTAGGGGGACGAGTCTTCTTACAGGTTACGGAAAGGGGCGAGTAGTGACGAATGCCTCTGTGGTCCATATAAGCCGAGGAACCCATCGTCACCAATCGCCCCTTTCCGTAACCTGCATATCGGCTTGTCCCGGAATAACACGAGTTGGTCACGAATGCTGAGGAGCCTTGACTCTCAGTTGATTTTATCATATGTTTGATTTTCAAATTAAAATATCTAGCTACCTGTATATATAAACCATGAACTGTATTGTATCATAGTCAGCACTTATTTTTTTAATTATAATTTGATTTAAAACTTCTTCGTTTTAATGTTTTTCGCATAATAGAATCTACGTAATTGCTGATGGTTGGTTATCTTAGACATGTTATCTTTAAAAATCAATAAATTTGCTTTTTTGGCACATATTTCAAACATGATAGGAGTAGGGGTTTTATTCCACATTTATGTAATTGCTGCCATGTTGACCAGTAAAGCCAGTTATTTAACAAACTACTCCTGTTTCACCTATAGATATTCATTATGACTAACATTTGACGACAATCTATTTGAAACGTCGACCGACAAGTGATATATCGGTTAGAATGAATATTTACTTATATTTGCATCATTGACGCCTTATTTTGCCATGTAAACTGCCCAGCAAAAGAAAGCATACACCCATGTTTAATGGTGGCTGAAAATTTAACAAACAAGAAATGGTTACGTGGTTGATGTAGTTGATACCATACAAGGTGAGGTGAGGTGAAATGGGGTTTAACGTCGCGTCCAAGATTATTGCACTTCTGTAGCCACATGCATGCAATTGCGTGTGTGGCTGCTTGTACAAGCCCGGAGTGTTGCCGATTTTTAGTGCTAGCCCACTGAGATACCATGCCTCAGTTCAACATGAATACCCCACTCAGACACAGTATAAGGACTCCGAGCTGACCAGTCCTTGTTTTATCCCCTTAATGCCGAGCCCCAGAGAGGGTAACAACAAGAACCATCTTTTAACGTCTTTTGGTATGATCGAACCCCGGGCCTTCCGCTCTCCGGGTGGACGCTCTACCACTAGACGACGGAGGACCATACAAGGACTGCCAGCTGACTCGAGTCTAGTAGCCCCCTAAGAAGGTAGTTTAAGTCCTGCAACCCGTCATCCAACGCGCCTCATCGTGTGGGGAACACTGGTTGCACAGTCGCACAAGGAGGCGCAATTCGCGTTGCAAACTTACGTCCCTTAATAGTGCTAGGATCTTGTTATAGTGGGTTCCAATTCCAGATTGGCCCAATGTCTTTGCCAGCAAAACAGCAGAGTTCTTAGCTGTCACCAATATGACCTGTGCTAATTTTTCCATTCATGACTTTCCTCCTACTTTAAGCGGACATGATGTAATGTAACTGAATAGTGTTCAAAGCGGCTTTGAATCCAAGTCTCGAACACTCCATCTTCGACTTTAGTCAGCGGATTCTGTAAAGACCATTTCGGTTGAAGGCATACCCTCCAAACCCGCGCGCTAAACTAGTTTGAACCTCACATCTCAGGTGGGTGGTTGAGTGTCTGGATATACGAGCACAGGAATAGAACCCATGATCAGCGGATCCTGAAACGTCTAATAACCGCAACTCTGTATAATGGATTACGGCGACTTTGAGACAGTAAGTGTATTTACGAATCTAACTGTAGGCTGTGTTTAAGAAGGAGAAATAGAATAAGGGCATTTCTCTATTCACAGCGCTTCAACCTACGGGAATAATGCTTGCAGTGACAGGGTCCGTGGACGTTCACAGCTTTGATGATACCACACACATACGTTCCATTTGTTTCAGTCAGTGTTTGATGTTTGAATTGAATGTCTATTCGTGCCTAACATCTGCAGAATATTCAGTGAAACCAGCACAGCGTGTCAGAAATATAATTTTATCGTCATGCGCGTTGCACAAACACATTGTTTATTTACATATGAGTCATATAATTATAGCTCTGCTGTAATGCTTTCTGTACGAACACAGCAAATGTGCCTCTGCCCTGTCAAGTACTGTAACAGGAAGTTTATCAAGAGGGGGTAGAGAGGTGACGATTTGTTAGGATGATAAATATTTCTTTTTGTCTGAGACACAACACCTGGTGTGACGCTAGCACGACTTCGTTGCTGTCACATTCATATGCATTGATCACCCGTGATCCCTGATGGGGCTAAAACGAACATGATTTAAAATAAATAAGATGAAATATGAGTTACGTGATAATAAAGTAGATAAAAGATGCAGGGCTTTGGAAATAATCGCATGAACACAAATTGAAAATCACAGACATAGATGTGTGTCCAGACACGTCTGGGACTCAAACCGAGGCATCAGCTGTGTCATCATCCAGTTTATCATCTAGTGTGTGTCTCCCTGTGTGTCGTCCATTGTGTGTTCTCCAGTGTTTTATTCATTGTGTCATCAAATCGCCCAAAGTGTCCTCACATTACTTTACTACTCTTGTGGTAGAAACTCGGACGATGGTTGAGGCGTCAAGGGCGTCCAGATCTGTCTAAAATGGGATGCAAACAGACCAAGGTTAAGCCTTTCAAGCAGACATCTCCCGAGGAGGCTCTGACGGGCAAGATCAACTGTCCTCACGAGCTGTACTACGTGACACCGTCAAAATCCCGACTGTCACGGACGAAGATTCTTCAACAGTTACGAGACGAGGGTTTGGTCCCCGACCGTCAGTCAAGCGGAGGAGTTGCCTTCTCTGTCCCCGCAGTGGAGGGGGTTGTTCCCCGTGGCAGAGCTCCCCGACGCCTATGGCGAATTCCATTACGAGGTCATTACACGTCCGAAGAGAAGCAAATCATAGCGGATGTTTTCAGATATGATAAGTAGGTTATTTGTGGTTCTATACGTCACTGATTATTTCAAATATAATGTTATCGAGTAAATTACTAATCACAGTTGAGGAAAGAATCCCACCATGGGACTTTTCAAGAAAGAAGTTTACATAAATAAACAGCATAAGATACAGCCTGATCCTACATGTAACATTTATGTATATATATAGAGATGGGATTTAATCGAAAAATGATGGCTTATATATAATCTAGTCTGGACCAGGCTCAAGAAAACCATATTAAATGTCAAATGGTATCGGTTGGTCAGGCTCGCTCACTTGGTTGGTGAATGTCATCGTATTCCTATTGATGATGCGTAGAGGATGTCAATCAATGGGATTGTCTCGCCCAGATTCGATTATTAACAGACCGCTGTCATACAGCTGGGATATTGCTTAGTTCGGCGTTAAGAAACAAACAAACAAACCAAAATAAACATGATTGAACTGATTTTAAACAGGTTGGTGGAGCAAGTCCAGAGGAAACAACTGGACAAAGAAATAAAGCACAAAGCTGTCAAGGACGAGAAGAAGCGTCGCCTTTTCATCAAGAAAATGAAGGCAGAGTATCAGCTTCAGGTGAGGGAGGAGAAACTGAAGAGGCTGGAGGAAGAGCGGGCGGTGGTGAAGAAGCCAGCCAAGAAGTAGAAGTGGTGGTCAGGCTCGCTGACTTGCTTGATGCATATCATCGTATCCCAATGGCGTGGATCGATCAATGGATTGTCTGGTCTAGACTTGATTATTTACGTTGTCTTACGACAAGCATAGTCGCCTGCTACGGCAAGCATGGGTTGCTGAAGACTTATTCTTTCCCAGATCTTCTCGGGTCGCACACGAAGTAGACATCTGGGATTCCAATTGTGCACACGAAGTTGTTTGACAACGGTATAAGGATCTATACCGAAACGTCGCACTTTACAGTATTAAAGAAGTTGTTATCCATAACATTGTGTCTACCATATTTACACACCTGTCATATATGTTCATGGTCACTCGGGTGCTCTTTTATCTCACGACAAGCGTAATAAATGCAGGCGGTCAAATTATCCGTACATTTCAACCGCTGGTCACATGGATTACACCTTAATTTCCTATTATGCACAAATTGGGGTAAACGCTGTCTCTTAGTACATGCCACATAGTATTGTGATGCTGTTTAGTCAGCGAATCCGAGCGGACCTTTCCTCTTCGAAGGACGGTGTCGCCACATTGGCTATTTTACGAGCACTTCTTCCACCTCCACTGAGGTAGACACGCGTGGGACTAAGAGTGATCTCCAATCGCTCACTTAAATTTTGGATTCAACGCAACTTCGACACGCATTAGTTTTTGAAACATACAAATAGATGTTAAACCATATCATGGAATGGACTACTGTCTACCTCTTCTTTCACAAAGGATAGGATTGCCTCTGTCACGACACACACCAACTGGGTGTTGTTGTACAAAGGGATCCTAACGCTACGGTGATCGTAACTCCCATACTTTAAGACTTACGATCATCGTTGCGATAAGGCTGTTAGTTTTGTACTAAGTCACCCTGGTCAATTTTTCGGTGCCCTTTTTCACTTTTGTCACTGTTTTCAGATTATAGAAAACAAGCTAAACATGATGTCGCTGCCCCCCTGGGGAAACTCTTTTACCATGTATTTTTTAACACAAATGGTCGCTTTTTCTTGAAAAGGGGGTACGGGGCACAGTTCAAACACAATTTATTTTTCTGACCACACACTGATGTTCACAGCGAAACCTCATTTCCTCTAGTTTTAGGGGCGGTCGAGTAGCCTAGTGGTTAAAGCGTTCGCTCGTCACGCTGAAGACCCGGGTTCGATTCCCGACATGGGTACAATGTGTGAAGCCCATTTCTGGTGTCCCCCGCCGTGATATTGCTGGAATATTGCTAAAAGCGGCGTAAAACCATACTCACTCACTCCTCTAGTTTCATTAACTCGAATTATAAAAATAACTCGATGAAAGCTTCCTGGCACTTTTCTAGCCTATGGCCAACTATTTTTTTGTGTTATGGCCTACGTTATGTCTTAATTGAAAGTAAATTTTAATTTGTTACAACGGGAAATACAAGAACTAAATAAATGCGACAAACCCTTTCCACTCTGATCGAAGATTAGGAAATGTCTTCCAGGCAAGGGGCAACTAACGCGGGATCGGGTGGTCAGGATCGCTGACTTGGTTGATGAATGTCATCGTATCCCAATTGCGTAGATCGATGCTCATGATGTAAACCACTGAATTTTCTGGTTCTCGGTTGTTTACAGACCGCCCTCATATAGCTGGAATATTGAGTGTGGCGTTAAACAACAAACAAACATACATTTGCAATTTCGTTTGATTGGATATGTCCTATTTGGACGTTAATGTCTAGTGGTGAGATGACAGCAGTAGTTGTGATTCAGAGTCGGATGTTGTTGTATATACATTGTAGATCGCTTGAATGGACTAGGCTGCAGTGTAACGGACACAACCCTACTCTCACTGGGGTCAGGCAACAGCGCTGGCGGTCATTGTTTGGATATAAAAAGTAAGATTTGGAATTAACTTGCAATGCTGGGATGACACAGCACCGTGTGTACAGTGTCAGCCGATGTAGTTTACCCCTCGCTCTTACTCTAAGGTGAGGTGAAATTGGGTTTAACGTCACGTCCAAGATTATTGCACTTATATAGCGACGTGCATGTACGTGTGTGGCTGCTTGTACTAGTCCGGACTGATGCCGATTTATAGTGCTAGCTCACTGAGATACCATGCCGCAGTTTAACATGAATATCCCACTCAGACACAGTAAACTGACTCCGAGCCGACCAGTCCTTGTTTTAGCCCCTTAATGCCGAGCGCCAGACAGGGTCACAACAAGTACCATCTTTTAACGTCTTTTGGTATGACGCGGCCGGGGATCGAACCCCGGACCTTCCGCTCTCCGGGCGGACGCTCTACCACTAAACCACGGAGGCGGCCTCTTACTCTAAGGACTTAAAGCGTTATTATTATACTCCTTATGCTGTGAGTTTGTGGCCGTCGCAGCATCAGGAGTCCGGCTGGTTAACTTGACTTCCTATCTAATTGCAGAGTGAAATACTGAACTTTTGAGATAAGAAAAAAATCCATCGAATCATGTCATCTCACCGAAAGCAAACAACTTAAACGATGCTTTCATTTCACAAGCCAATTTATCCTTGAGAGTCTTTCAAATAGCAATTCTACGAGTCACTCGGGCCGCCAATATTTGGTATTTGGAATATTAGCTTGGCGGTAATCCATAATGGAAAAATAGTTGTTGTGCTGACAAACCTAGAAAAAAAATCAAGGCGAATGTAGGTTGTGGCACTCCTAAGGGACGCCACTCTTCAGAGCGTATTGCTGCGCTTGTGACGACTGTGGTGAGATAAATTGACTATAACATATTATGCATATGAGATGAACTGCGGTATTCATTCGTCACGAACTCGCATTCTCTCAGCAATGGATGTATGTGTTTCACAAATAACATCCCTGAGCACACTTTTCTAACGTGACATGACAAATAAGCGCGGGATTTTATTACAAATTACTTTTTATTCTTTAATAAGCAAATATTCATCAATATATGGTGTAAAGTGACTTAACTCACTTAGTCCACCTCAAGGTTCTTAAGAAATATTAAACGGCCTATGAGTTATGCTACTGGGGAAAGTTTCATTCAAAAGGGTAAAAATACATGTCACCGAACGCTCTAATTATAACCAGTGTTCGAAATACCTGCCTGCCCGACCGTCCGAGACGGGTTGATTTCAACTCGGGCTGCCAGATTTTCAAATCCACCTGCCCGACGGTCGGGTTATATTTCATATGTGACAATATTCTAAATATTTCCCGATGATAAGCATTAATTCACATGTAAAGATGAATGATAAAATGTAACCAAAAAGAAACCCCGTTAGCTTATCCTGAGAAACATATGATTATAGTGGGCAGGCAGGTTTTGGTCAGGGGTGGCAAGTATTTCAGCTAGCCAGTCCTGTGGTCTGGCTGTGAAGTTTTTAGGAGTTTCATACCCTGTTATAACCAACAGGGTGTGTCTGAGTGTGTCGTCACATTTGCAACTCGTAGTGCAGTTTGCTCTCGTGCCTGTGAACTAGTTCATTATTTCACACATACACACATAGCCACATGTAAATATAGCGGTTTGACAACTGTTCATCTGGCTATCCTGTTACACGAATCGAATTTCAACGTACTACGTGACCATGATGGGAAAAACCAAGGCGCTCCGGTCTATTTCCGCACTGAGTCATCGCCTTGTTTAATTAAGCAGGAGGAAGTTCGGGTTAAACCAGGGTATTTCCAAGTATGTGTATTTATAGAATGACTGTACAACACAAATACATATTTAATGTTTATGCGGGATTTGCACAAATGCACTCAGTATGGTATTCTTTACTGGGTGCCTGAGTGATTGACTGTGGCGCTCTTTCCTTTTCCAGTCTTTCATTAGAGCGAGTAAGTGAGTTAGCTTTATCAAATCATTTAACACTAATTCAGTGATATCAGGCAGTGGAAGCTGAAAGTAGGAGACAAACACCAACTGATGCCGGTCGTGAGTCTTTACCATTATGGTGAAGTCGTTTAGGGTCACTTGTTTTTTCCTTTTTTCCTTGAAATTTCAAGATATTAAGTTAAAATTTCAAGATACTAAGTTGAAATGTACTAGGCAGTTAGATAAGAAAATGCATCAGCATTCTCATTAATTGTCTTCGTTCCGTTTTGCAGGTTGTTTTTTTTCTGCCTGCAGTCTCAGTTCTAGTTGGCGATATTTAGATTTCTTTGGGCGTTGCTTGCCCTTGCCGTGTAGCTTGATATAATTGTTTGGTGTAGGCTTGCTCAGATTTGAAGATGTTGGTGAGTTTGAAGATGTTGGTGAATTTGAAGATGTTTGGGTGGGGAAATGCTAATGTTGAGGTTACATTCGAGTGTCATTCCTCGGCGTGGTTGGTGGTACGTTGACCTTGGGTTTTGAAATGGTTCCACGATGTTCTGCTGTAGTTGCCCTCTACCCAGTACGCAGTGACATAGTCTGAAAATTGCAACACCCTAAATTCTACCAGGGCGCGTACCCACACATCTTCTAGGTGGTGTTCTGGCATCAACGGCAGGGTTACTGCTCTTCTGACTCATTGCTGATCTCGGGAACGCCTTAGAATCCTGTCTGCAAACCGCACCTTTTTGGTAATATTCCAGGAATGTCAGGAAGGGGGCCACCAGAAATGAGCTCCACACATTCTACCCATGTGATGAAACAAAACCCGGGCTACACTGCCCTGATTCTTGTTCTGAAGCAGCGCAATCTCAACACACTTTACCTCACTGGCAGTATGGTAATTATCCAATCGCCCCTTTCCGTAACCTGCAAGAGGACTCGTCCCCCTATCGATGAATGTTATGTGCGAAAATACGACAAACCAATCAGAATGCGCGTATGATTTCAAGTTCTTCGTCAAAGAACCCCTCAGAAATAATTTTGATTTTACATATGTCTTGCATATAAGAATATACCAAAGACATAGTTAAATGTGTTCAATCATGCTGTATAAATTCGCACGTCCCGATGTGCTTTAAATTGCATCTGAAATATATATAATATATGTGGAAAATGTGTGAACCATTACGCAACGAATTGACAATTGTTTGAGGTATGCCCGTTTGCGCTAAGATGGTTGCAAAAATGGCCACGAGAGGGGCACGAGTCGCAATTCGGCTTGTCCCGGAATAACACGAGTTGGTCACGAATGGGTAATTATCGTGTAATAATGTTACGGGACATTCTATAAACTAAACTACAGCAACTGCTGTGTGAATTCTAGGGTTTGAATATGTTATAGAAAGCAAACTGTCATTATTAAATGTAACAGCTATATTCATATGTGCCTATAGTTGCAGAACGAGGGCCCACTGGTCTGAGGCACCTGAAACTACTAAACATAGTTTCGCCCTTAAAGGGCAATCCCACGGTATTGGTACAACTTTTGCATGGTTTTAGTTGTATAAATTAAAGTGGCATGCAGCTAGGCGTTCACACAGTGATCAGTTGAATACAACTCTGATTTCGTAAGATCTTGGACTTCTTCAGAAGAAATAGTTGCCCTGGCTGGCTAACTGCAAACGTACAACTTGTCTCTGAAAGACGGAACATATCCTTTGCCGTACAACTTACGTCCGACAAATTGCATACGTCAAAAGTTGGCCCGACTTGCAGGTTCAGACGATACAAGGTGTTGCATGCAACGGATTGTATACAGCTAGTTGTACGATGTGAACGTTCCTTTCGCCTTGCTGTCCCCATATGTTCTCGGCACGTGGTTTACTTATTGACGACGGGTACATATAGACGAGTATGTTCACCGCACGTGACCATTTTCAAAGTGATTTGATTGGGTGTATATCAAGGAAGTTATACGCTGATATAGATACACAGTCATACATCAGAGAGTTAGAGATTTTCTCGGAGTATGGCGATTAGGGAAGGGAGGCTGAGCTTTTGAGGTAAAAAAAGTGATTTTCAATATACAGTAGCAAATCCGTACATCTCTGATAATACCTGTATATAGGTGTGTCGCCAACAGACTGTATTCACTGTTCGTAGAGCACTATAGATTGCTATGTAGGTCGAGGACTAAGAAGGAAGTAGTTCTAATAATATGCTATTGTACGCAACTTTTACAGTAGGGAGTGGTTTTGATGTGTTTTTATAAGTACTTAAATAAGTGCCGGGTATTGAATTTTTTTCCGAATGTTTCAGGCCTGTCGTAAGTTTGTGGCGTGCGTCTGTGAGTTTCAGAGAGGCATTTCGACCAAGACTTTTACACTTTTGTTTGAAATGTCTCTTATCTGTGTTACGGGTTGTGGGATAGCCTGTGGTTAAAGAGTTTGCTCATCACGCCAAATGGCAGGGTTCGATTCTCCACATTGGTACAGAGTGTGAAGCCAATTCCTGGTCGATCATGACCAACTCATGCCAACAGGCCGAATGTAGCTTACGAAGAGATGCGAGTAGTGACGGTGGATTCCTGGAGTCCCACCGCCGTGATATTCCTGCATGGATAGCGACAAACGTATAAACATACACTCACTCTTCACTATCGATACGTTTCACGTGTTCCACTTGTTTTAAGTGAGTGAGTGAGTATGGTTTTACGCCGCTTTTAGCAATATTCCAGCAATATCACGGCGGGGGACACCAGAAATGGGCTTCACCCATTGTACCCATGTCGGGAATCGAACCCGGGTCTTCGGCGTGACGAGCGAACGCTTTAACCACAAGGCTACCCGATCGCCCCACTTGTTTTAAGGGAACACAAAAGGAGACCGAGGTTTGGGATATATCAAAGACTTATTAACGGGTTTTTTGGAAAGGGATCATTATGTAATCATTAGATTTTCCTCTTACGTTTGAACAGGCGTTTATATATACACGTGGCTGGCGTTTTACACAAGACATATATTTTGGTGCGTCAATCAATCCGGCATTTATTTTGGGCACAGTTTACTCGGGAATTTACGATTCTGCATTATTATATGTCATGGTGGTCGTGACAAATTCTAACTTAAACATGCACAATTCAGGTGTAAACCCAGATGATCTGACGACGACAGTGGGTGACGCAATGTCTGCACGGGACGACAATGTCACTGATGGCATACACAAAGAAATTTTGGAAATCTTTTTAAACCAGTGTTGCGCAAATAAAGAGCTAGCTTCCAAACTCAAATTACACCAGGACCAAAGGGAAACTCGGAAACGTTACTCTGGGTCCGACGAAGGAATTGACTCTCGTCCCAACTCGGAGAGTGTAGCCAGTGCAGGGCCTGTCCTACTTGTGTCCAGGGCTATGCGCATACAAGATTTGGGCAGGGAGCTCAAGGGGGTCATAGACGAAGTAGTGGCCGGCGTTCTCAAGTCATGTGGAGACGAGAGTCTACAAGCAGTTGGTGCTAGAATGTCGGGTAAGGTGCTTCTATACTTCAATTAAACGATTAAACAATTAAACAATTAAACAGTGGTCGAAATTTGAATGACAGCTGCATTGTTGCATTTGCCACAATCCGGCACGATTTTATGACGCTTCAATCACTTCGCACGATAAGTTCAATAACAACCAGACTGACTTGCGATCACATTCGTGACCAACTCGTGTTATTCCGGGACAAGCCGAATTGCGACTCGTGCCCCTCTCGTGGCCATTTTTGCGACCGGGTTCCGCCTTAGCGCAAACGGGCATACCTCAAACAATTGTCAATTCGTTGCGTAATGGTTCACACATTTTCCACATATATTATATATATTTCAGATGCAATTTAAAGCACATCGGGACGTGTGGAATTATACAGCATGATTGAACTTAACTATGTCTTTGGTATATTCTTATATGCAAGACATATGTAAAATCAAAAATTATTTCTGAGGGATTCTTTGACGAAGAACTTGAAATCATACGCGCATTCTGATTGGTTTGTCGTATTTTCGTACATAACATTCATCGATAGGGGGACGAGTCCTGTTGCAGGTTACGGAAAGGGGCGATTGATGACGAATGTTGCGATCACACACACACGCGCGCACACGCGTGTTTACGTTGAAGCATACCGAAAGTAGTTCCGACAGAAAGTGGTATTTCGATTTTGTGTTGTCAGATAAATACAGTCTCATCACTTAATACACCTTACATGTATGAATTATGTCTAGAAATGATTTACATTTATCCAGTTGATTTACACCGAATCAATTGGTGATATTTACCGTAATGTTCTAATGCGTCTTTTATGAATGTATGATTTGTTCTCGTCGTTATATGGGTGGGATATTGCCGACGCAAAGTCTACCTTTAACACACTCACTGACGCCCTGGCACTAATATGAGTAATAATAGTATTGCTCTATCCACCTGATCTGCATCCAACGTGGTCTAGAATTTCACACTCTTTCGCCCTTTGTGGCTGTGCAGAGGTACATCCATTGACCGTGCCAGGATCCGCTGGTCGTTGATTCCTGGAATCGCCCAGATTATAATCATGGTTTGTTAGCACCATACCCATGCCCGTTGGTTTCCCAAGGATATTTTCTCAGTAAAAGATGACCACTTAAAAACACTTTTTTTTGTTAATGTGTAGACTTTAAAAAAATAAAACAGATGAAAACCATAATGTGATTTTTTTAATGGACTGTGTAAGATGTGATGAGAAATTGCGCATGCAGAGGTACTAGGTTGATCGCAAGGAACTCTGGGTAGGAAAGTGGTTTAGCTTTCACAACGTGAGTGAGTATAGTTTTACGCTGCTCTTAGAAAATATTCCAGCAGTATCACGGCAGGGGACACCAGAAAGGGGCTTCACACATTGTACCCATTTGGGGAATCGAACCCGCGGCTTCGGCGTGACGAGCGAACTCTATATATAACCGCTAGGCTATCCCACCTCCCAGTCACGACGTGAGGTAACATTAATTTTCAAAGCTTCGTTAAACCAAACGCACTAGCTACTAATATGTCGTTGTGCATGCCAGAGATGAAAGGTATAATCTGCTTGTACAATGTCATTTCGTGTGTGTCTTGTATTCAGTTTATCGGTCCAACTGTAACTCTCTTCTTTTGCTTTTTCAAGAGTCGAGGCGCCGCGATTCGGTGTACAGAGTTGCTTCCCTTGGGCACGCCAGAAACCTATGATGTGGGTTCGAAACCCGGTTCGCCCCGATTATGTATCTAGGTTTGTCAGCACCATACCTGTGCTCGTGGGTTTCACCGAAGTGGTAAACGTCTGAGGTCTGCATCACTTCGGGCTTTCCTCCCACATTAAGCTGACACGGCCCGATATAACTGTAATACTGTTAAGAGCGGCGTAAAATCCAACTCACTCACTCACTCAATAGTCGACATATATTGTTTTCGTGATCGTGTTTCAGTCGCATCAACTGACAGCGGTCATGCCAGTAACAGAGCGAGTGGAGGTAAGGATGACGAGGTTTTCAATGTTGATAGAACCGTCATCTATTCACGAATCGACAGTAAAACAAACTAATTGAAACAAGAGTCCAGCAAGATGGGTAGAGTATGTTGAAAGTCAAGACCAAACGGAAAAAGTTAATTTTTATGTGATCAATTCAGAAGGGTATGCTATTTTATCTTATCTAAATAACGCATAATAATAAAGACGACTATAATGTACCCGGGGATTGTGTACCGCCTTATTGTGACGAGCGAACGCTTTAACCACAAGGCTACCCGACCGCCCCTCTTGTTTTAATGGAACACATAAGAAGTCCGAGCTTTGGGATATATCAAAGACTTATTAACGGTTTTTTTGGAAAGGGGGCATTATGTAATCATTAGATTTTCCTCTTACGTTTGAACAGGCGTTTATATATACACGCTGCTGGCGTTTTGTACAAGACATATCTTTTGGTGCGTCAATCAATCCGGCATTTATTTTGGGCACAGTTTACTCGGGTATTTACGATTCTGCATTATTATATGTCATGGTGGTCGTGACAAATTCTAACTTAAGTATGCACAATTCAGGTGTAAACCCAGATGATCTGACGACAACATTGGGTGACGCAATGTCTGCATGGGACGACAATGTCGCTGATGGCATACACAAAGAAGTTTTGGAAATCCTTTTAAACCAGTGTTGCGCAAATAAAGCGTTAGCTTCCAAACTCAAATTACACCAGGACCAAAGGGAAACTCGGAAACGTTACTCTGGGTCCGACGAAGGAATTGACTCTCGTCCCAACTCGGAGAGTGTAGCTAGTGCAGGGCCTGTCCTACTTGTGTCCAGGGCTATGCGCATACAAGATTTGGGCAGGGAGCTCCAGGGGGTCATAGACGAAGTAGTGGCCGGCGTTCTCAAGTCATGTGGAGACGAGAGTCTACAAGCAGTTGGTGCTAGAATATCGGGTAAGGTGCTTCTGTACTTCAATTAAACGAATCTGAAACAGTGGTCGAAATTTGAATGACAGCTGCACAGCTGGATTTGCCACAATCTGGCACGCTCACGAGATTTTATGACGCTTCAATCACTTCGCACGATAAGTTCAATAACAACCAGACTGACTTGCGATCACGCGCACACGCGTGTTTACGTTGAAGCATACCGAAAGTAGTTCCGACAGAAAGTGGTATTTCGATTTTATGGTGTCAGATTAATACAGTCTCATCACTTAATACACAATACATGTATGAATTATGTCTAGAAATGATTTACATTTATCCAGTTGATTTACACCGAATCAATTGGTGATATTTACCTTAATGTTCTAATGTGTCTTTTATGAATGTATGATTTGTTCTCGTCGTTATATGGGTGGGATATTGCCGACGCAAAGTCTACCTTTAACACACTCACTGACGCCCTGGCACTTATATGAGTGAGTGAGTGAGTTGGGTTTAACGCCGCTTTTAACATTATTCCAGTTATATCAGGGCGTGTCGGCTTAATGTGGGAGGAAAGCCCGAATTTATGCAGGTCTAAGACGTTTACCACTTCGGTGAAACCCACAAGCATGGATATGGTGCTGATAAACCTTGAAACAACTGATATGAGTAATAATAATAATGCTCTATCACCTGCTCTGCATCCAACGTGGTCTAGAATTTCACACTCTTTCGCCCTTTGTCGCTGTGCAGAGGTACATCCATTGACCGTTCCAGGATCCGCTGGTCGTTGATTCCTGGAATCGCCCAGATTATAATCCTCGGTTTGTTAGCACCATACCCATGCCCGTTGGTTTCCCCAGGATATTTTCTCAGTAAAAGATGACCACTTAAAAACACTATTTTTGTAAATGTGTAGACATTTCAAAAATAAAACAGATGAAAACCATAATGTGATTTTTTTAATGGACTGTGTAAGATGTGATGAGAAATTGCGCATGCAGAGGTACTAGGTTGAACGCAAGGAACTCTGGGTAGGAAAGTGGTTTAGCTTTCACAACGTGAGTGAGTATAGTTTTACGCTGCTCTTAGAAAATATTCCTGCAGTATCACGGCAGGGGACACCAGAAAGGGGCTTCACACATTGTACCCATTTGGGGAATCGAACCCGCGGCTTCGGCGTGACGAGCGAACTCTATATATAACCGCTAGGCTATCCCACCTCCCAGTCACGACGTGAGGTAAATTAATGTTCAAAGCTTCGTTAAACCAAACGCACTCGCTACTAATATGTCGTTGTGCATGCCAGAGATGAAAGGTATAATCTGCTTGTAAAATTGTCATTTCGTGTGTGTCTTGTATTCAGTTTATCGGTCCAACTGTAACTCTCTTCTTTTGCTTTTTCAACAGTCGAGGCGCCGCGATTCGCTGTACAGAGTTGCTTCCCTTGGGCACGCCAGAAACCTATGATGTGGGTTCGAAACCCGGTTCGCCCCGATTATGTATCTAGGTTTGTCAGCACCATACCTGTGCTCGTGGGTTTCACCGAAGTGGTAAACGTCTGAGGTCTGCATCACTTCGGGCTTTCCTCCCACATTAAGCTGACACGGCCCGATATAACTGTAATACTGTTAAGAGCGGCGTAAAATCCAACTCACTCACTCACTCAATAGTCGACATATATTGTTTTCGTGATCGTGTTTCAGTCGCATCAACTGACAGCGGTCATGCCAGTAACAGAGCGAGTGGAGGTAAGGATGACGAGGTTTTCAATGTTGATAGAACCGTCATCTATTCACGAATCGACAGTAAAACAAACTAATTGAAACAAGAGTCCAGCAAGAAGGGTAGAGTATGTTGAAAGTCGGGGCCAACCGGGAAAAGTTAATTTTTATATGATCAATTCAGAAGGTATGGGTATGCTATTTTATCTGATCTAAATAACACATAATAATAGAGACGACGATACTGTACCCGGGGATTGTGTACAGCCTACACCGGAAATTTACGTGAAACGTGTAGCTTGATAAAGATGGAATATGCTGAGTGCGCAACATTGATGAAACAACATTCATGATATTGTTGCAGGAGACCTGCACTTAGCTGAAACAACAACGGCGGAACAGGATCATGAGCTCCACAATCCGCCAGTAAGAAAATTGATTTATGGTTTAAATTTAATTCTTGTTGTATTCAGTCCCACTCGTGAAAATGTAACTTTATAGCTCTGGCAGAGATCCGGCTTGATTCGAACTACAGATTAGTCGACATATTGCCAATGGCTCTGAGTATGTCATGTAAGCGAGTTTTCTGTGTAACTCCTCCAAACCACCTGATACTTAGTCATTTAGCCTACCCGTCAGCAGTGTCTCACTGCGGGCTGGTTGACCTTGTAATGAGGCAACGTAATATGGCGTCTGTATTACCAAAATAAATATTTAGCCAAAATTAATCAGTTTGTTTACCTTATGCAAAACGAGGAGATACAACATTGCCTATAGCTGCACCAGTGTCCCTGATGTTTCGACGACGTATGGATGTAAATATATCATAATAATATAATATTAATTTATTACTTTTACAAAGCACTGTTTCCAGCGGTCTGTATCCGAATATTACACTGCGGGTCGTCTTTAAGCATTGTATTGCAGGTTATATTAAGATATTATATCGTGGGTAATATTTGATATTGTAAGTGCAGGTTGCTCGTGTGACCCAATACTTATATGTTTTAAATATGTGATTTAATTTATAATTTGTTTATATGTTAAATGTCTCTCATAACCCTGAATGGGTGGCCATGTTTTATCTTGTTGTGTTATGTATTTTGTGACCATGGGTGAGACAAAAATAAACAATTTTCTTCTTCTTCTATTACCAGACCTCTCTCAGCCGTAATTGTGGTTCGTCCTTACGTAGCAATATTAAATAGAACTAGCAGATCGTTAGCGTTCGTCACCTGCTACACTGCTGAAATAATGGGATGAACGGTAAAACCTGTTTAACTTTAGATACGAGAATGTAGGGGCAATACGGGATTTGAGCGTATCAATGCTCTATCAGTCATATTGTCCCTCGGCAGGGTGTATTGCCCTGCAAATAAAGCCTGCCTCTGGCCAATATGACTGACCTTGAACCTTAAACAATACAGATAACGTCATCCCAAGGCCAGCCAGGCCGCGCTTTTGCGTGTGTCATACTGTTGGTATAGCGGCCATATTACTTCCGGTATCCTAACCTCGCGTTACGGTGTTGCAGTTGTCGTTAGTCAGAGACTACGAGCTGGTGGAGAGGATGTCGGCAGCGGCCCTGAGCAACAGACTGACTCTGAGGGATGGACACCCACGACAAAGTGTCCCTACGGAGCACACCGAGCAGGAGGAACAGACAGTGCCCAAGAGACATGAGCAGTGAACATTTAATGGCCACCAGAATCGACGCTGCATTTATTAGACTTTTTGTAGGGAGAGGAAATTCAAAACGCGCTTGTTATCTACAAACTAAGCTATCCTTAGAAATGCGTGTACATCCATCTACTATTGATAAGCCACAAGACAACCCACAGTAACATGTAACATCCTTTTTATATACTAGTATTTCCATATAAGATTTAAAACGGCTCCTTTACAGGTTTAACGTCACTGGGACGTCAATTATATCTGTATGTCAATAATTGTTCATTCCAAAATACAATGTCAGCATCATTCCCGAGCCATCACGCAGCCTAAACATACTGGGGTCTGGGCCGTGCACATGCAACAGTGCTGGGTGGCATAGGGAAAGATCAGTGCGAACAGGGTATACGAGCAACATGCAAAGATGTCATAGTGACCGATTCCGGACAGCCGTCTTCAGGATGAACATTTAATGCCACAGTTAATTACCATGTAGCCATGGTATGAATGGCGTACGACTCTAGAATCACTCAACGGCCATTACTTATATGATGTTAATTCCCATTGTTAATCACCATTGTATTGTATTTACATGAACGAGGTGTGCTATGTCTTTGCTCATTAATTACTGTTGTATATATTCAAGACTTTATCCATGTCAGCATCTTCCTTCTACCCACACTGGACTTTTAAAGCCAGTTAACTCACTTGCCTCGGGAAGATGCCATGTCAGATGACCTTAGCCTCATATGTGGCAGCTGAAATATAATGTAAGCAAGAGTGCAGTTCTATACTTTGGATGCCCAAACAATAAGGTTCAAACCACTAATGTATCAATTGGCGATATGCATGTTCCACAAACGAAATCTATTAAATATGCAGGTGTATATCTTAGTATAGATAAATCATCACTTGAACGTACAGAATCTGCATGCGAAAAGTTACGTGTACTCATCAACACTAACCATAATAATGGGTTGTACTTTGGTGGTCTGAATCCCTTATCTGCAGCACGTATCTGGGAGATGGTAATCTTATCATGTGCTCTCTATGGATGCAGCGTTTGTGGTAAACTTCCTCTTAAAGAGTATATAAACGTCAATTACAACGTCAATTTTGTAAAAAAGTTCAGGGACTACACAGTCGCACTCCCAGTATTGGTGTATTGGATGCTATCGGCATCATGCCACTACAGTATTACATAGATAAAAGAGCACTCTACTTCTTAAGAAAGCTATGTAATCAAAGTATAACTGTGTTTTTAAAGTAATGGTTCTAGTTCAATGGGTCAATTTATGTGTACAGATAGTTTTACATGCAATGTATGGAGTAGAAAATCTCCGATATATAATATGCTACAGCTTGTACAGAAGTATAACCAAAGTGATACACTTGTTAACTATGTCAATAATTGTCAATTTATAAATAAGAAAGGCTGGTCCAAGGCCGTGAATGATGCTATTAAATCTCATCGAGATGATGTATGTTATGTCCATCTTTATTCAAGACTCAGTCTGTCACGATATGTTAGAATAAGATCAAGTAATGATTGTGCTGATTGTCACATATATAGTGTCTTGTATTTATCTACTTGTATATAATAAATTATTCTTGTATATATCGCACTCATAATTACTTCCCCCAAAACGCCACGTGTCGATATTGCAAGCTGCGTGACTCGGTATACAAAGCCACACATTTGTGCAGAGTCGGACAATAAAGCTTTGTAAAACGCAGTCAACGAATAGCAAAACAATAGCTATTCAAATCCTCAGAATTGTCTGGTTTATTGACGAAATTGCCAGAAACAAGCCTCTCGCGGACTTATGAATGACAGCCTGACGCACCTTGTTTGAATTGTACACGCTACACGCGGATATCAATTTTACAGGCAAGAAATTGTGTGTAACTTTGTGTGTACCTTTTAAGGCTATATTATAAAAGGGATTTTGTCAAACTATATACAAATGGGTATGAACGTGGGAGAGCACTTTACAATGAAGATTATGATATGATGTATGGGCTTTGTTGGTTTAGTTGACGGCATCTTGGGTTATACGTTATATTAAATCTTCATAGTATCATACATCATAATAGCACGACGATATGATACACTAGATAATAGAGATGTATTGCGGCGTCCTGTAAATAATGGAATCTTGAGCAGAAAAAACAGTTCATGTCAATATTACATGTGTGCAGTGGGGTACGACGATTCACAATGAAACAAGTTACGGGTGTGACCTCCCGATCCATTTAGTCGCCGCTTACGACTATAGGTTGCTCGGGAATGGGGATCTATTCTAACCAAAAATACTCAGGGGCCTCGCCATGACAATATTTAATATCACAGAGAAGTAATTAATATAAGGAAAATGTATTTCGTACTGAATGAACGTAACCTTGAGCTGTTTTGTGTGTGAGATGTTTTCCGCTTTCCTTTTAATCTTTCAATCGATTCATGATAAAACCTCCGCAAATTCATTCATTAAAGAATGCCCAAAACATCCGGGTCGGTCCTCATTGGTTAAAAACCAACCTACCCTTATCAAAATCCTCCTTTTGTCGACGGAAGGTTGTAAACCATTGCAAAGATCGACACGTTGTAGTTTAGACATCATTATCGTATGTTTATAAATCCCGCGAACCGATGTCATCATAACGATCTATGACATGCCGCGTCAGCAGACGACATGTCACGTGACTACATGACCTCTGACATGGAACAGTTTATCGGTGTAGTGAAACGTGTGGAGACTTAGATCCCTCTTCATACGGAAACAACTCCCAACTGGAATACATTCTTGGAATATAGACGTCACGTACACCTGTATGGTCATAAGCAGTGAGTGTCATCTGTTGTTTATTTGATTTTGACATTATTATACAGTGACAAGTATGTCATATTACCATGGGAATGAAAAATGCTTGTTTTACGTAACATAACATACCTCAAAATGTGAAATGTGAGATCAGACTTCTATTTGGCTAATATATGCGTGTCTTGATCCGAAGTCGTTCATGCATGTAGACATTGACCTAGATGGTTCTCCATTTGACTTTTGCGACATAATACCAACCATTTTAGGTCACTCCACGTTTTGATAATGATATTGGATATATCGAATGTGTTTGTATTTATGGATTGCTTTATCGATAAACCAATCGTCATTGAACAAGGCATTGACGTTACCGTGTCCGGGGCATGAGTCATGCGAACTATATTTAGGTCAACTGAGAATATCGAGTGTGACAGTTACGTGCCTTAACAATGTCGTTAAATCGCCCAATCCCTTAATTTAGGCAGTTATTGGACAGAGAGTGTCGGTATTCAAATTCAGTTGTCAGAAATATTGTCATGCAAGAGTGCGTCGTGTTGCTGGATACTGTCAGAGAAATTTATGGCTACCTTACGCAGGGTCATTCTGCGGGCTTGCCACACACATATCTATTCCCGGGCACGACGGAGTTCGGGTTGCTGTGGGAGTTATGAGTGAGTGAGCTAGTTTAGCTCCACTTCGACCAGTATCTCGCTTACATCATGCTCATTAGAGGGAAGCACAACGTTGCTCAGCCCGTGGACATGACGCACGTCGGTTGTTCACAAACCCATGAACACGGGAATAATGTAGGCAGAATGGTCATTATCGGGACGAGTCTGGTACTAGAACCCATAACCTTGATCCTTAACTGTATAGTTGAGGGATTGTGTTTCACGTCTATCCATGTAATAGGATGTCGTAGACGACATCATGGGGATGAGGATGAGGATGTTGAATACCTTCTATATATTTCTATGACTTAAACACGTGTACATGCAAAGTTAATGTCGAGCCCGGCCTCTGAGATTATTTGTTTGTTTGTTATTCAACGCCGCATTTAGCAATATTCCAGCTACATGACGGTGGTCCGTAAATAAAGTCTGAACCAGACAACCCAGTGAGTGACATCATGAGCATCGATCAACGCAATTGGGATCGATGGCATGCATCAACCAAGTCAGCGAGCCTGGCCACCCGATCCCGTTAATCGCCTCTTACGACAAGCATAGTCGCCTTTTATGGCAGGCAAGGATTGCTGAAGACCTATTCTACCCAGGATCTTCACGGGTCGCCTCTGAGAGTAATAGACGCTGGCTTTTATAAACTGTGTCTACACTTTAGATCTACTAATTGGTACTGTTTGATAGATTTGTTTTATACAGTAGTAATTATTTCAGTCTATTCGTGCATTGGTGAATAAGTTATTGTTTTAAAGGTCCGGTCTTGTCTTTTCGTTCTTATAATGAAATTATATATATTCACGGTATACAAAGTAGTGTCAGGGTGACATTTCTTGTTTCGGTTCCAGTATCATGTACCACTACTAGAAATAGGGGTGGGGTTGAGGTGTGTGGGGTGGGGGTGAGGTGGGGGATGAGTCATAGCCATGTCACACAGAATATCTGGTCTGTTTGTTTGATAATGAATGACAATTAAAATTCATCGTTTTAGGAATAAGTACTAGTAATGATTAATCAATACCCCTTTGAAAAGAAACTTCGCATACATGCGATATCTCTATTTAGTTGATGCCGACAAACCATCGAAGGTCAAGGTCACCACGGCGTCATTAAACAAACATTGCAGGGACCTTGAACAACTTTATATACTATATCCTTCAGCGGTCAGAATGTGCTCGGATTTGAGCAGAGATTGTGGAGTTTCAAGTTACAAAATGACATTCCATTAACAGGCTCAGTGCTTGTCCTTATGCAGAGAGGGCTGGGGATGGTGTATCTTGAGACAGATAACAGAGATCATATTACCAAACAAAAACCACTGTGTAACAAAGTATTATAATATTGCAAGGCAGTTACACCTAGGTTAGGTATCAGGGATACACATAGGTACCTGTATATGTCTAGAGGGCAGTGCTCTACCTGTAGCCTTCGCCGATTGAAGTGGCAAGCAGACGACTCGAAGGGTTGTGTACAAAGACTACACGTTGAAATCCAATATCTCGTCTCTCAAGGATCTACCGACTTCTGAACGCATATCGATGACCCGGATCCTTTTAGGGCCAAGGACACATTTTGGACGCCAGAGAATAATCAGACTCGATTACCTGCCGAAACAGATTTCAATGGGCGTTAGAGGCAAAATAGTGGTTACAATTATATGAATGGATCACTGGGAACCAATTATAACACCAGGTGTTCGCGAAAAGGGTAAACATGTCCTGATCTACCGGTCGCAACCGCCACTCGCACAGTTGGCATATAAAGGTAAGTGTGTTGCCTGACGCCGCACAAGCACAGGACACACATTTGGCACAAAGTGAAACTCCGTTAATCCAGACGGTCCCCACTGAAATCGTCCGGATTAACAAATGTCAGGATTTACGAATAATGGGAACATGGTAATATTTGTTTGTTTGTTGCACTCAGCAATATTCCAGCTATGTGACGGCGGTCAGTAAATAATCGAGTCTGGACTAGACAATCCAGTGATTGACATCATGAGCATCGATCCACGCAATTTGGGATACGATGACATGCATCAACCAAGTCAGCAAGCCTGACCACCCGATCCCGTTAGTCGCCTCTTACGACAAACCTAGTCGCTTTTTACGGCAAACATTGGTTGCTGAAGACCTATTCTATCCCGGATCTTCACGGGTCAGGAACACGGAAATTGTATAAACGTCCCCGGCAGTAATTTCCGGAAGGTTAGGTTTCCGGTTTAATTCAGTTTCACTATGTTTAGTCATCTTCAACAACGCCTGCTATGTGTGTTTCATGGACGAACAACAACAATAAGGTCATAAATCAGTTAATCAACGATTTGCTTTGAAATTCTACTGCAGTATGCACGTGATTTCACAAACCCAATATGTGGAATGTGTATGAACTTTACACGTTATCCTTTGAACTTTAAGCAATGTGACTTGAGCTTTGTAATGGCATGGGCTTTTGGGGAGGAAATGTACCAATGAGGATGGATAATGGGCCTGAATTGGAATGACTCTTGCTAGTTTATCTATTGTGGAATGTGGATAATGTCAAAAGTCAAATACCAATCATCTTCCCGAGGCAAGAGAGTTAACTGACTTTAAAAGTCCAATTTCCACCATTGCCGAACTAGGCTGGAATTAAGGAGTTAATATTTTCGCAGGACTGACGAGTTCATGCATAGTCCAATCGAAATCCCGGTTTATTAACAACATGACAACTGCCGCGCCGAATTCATTCGATTGCAGGATTTGCAGAACATGTGTACCGTCAACTCGGCGTCGACAGATATTTTCCAAATGTTTTCATGTTTTTAATCAAGGTGCTCAAGTGATGTGATACACTTCGCGAGTTAAAGCCCGTTTTAGTACAATGAAGATCGATGAGATCGTCTTGACTGGTCGCCGTCATTTTGTTAGAAGCAAATGTAAATGATATGAGAGTTGGAATCTGATTGGTCAGTAGTAGGGGCATAGAAGGGTCATAACTCGTAATAACCACTGGTTGCGCTACGATCAAGCCAAGATTGGTTGGTTGGTTTGTTGTTTAACGCCGCACTTAGCAATATTCCAGCTATATGACGGCGGTCTGTACATAATCGAGTCTGGACCAGACAGTCCAGTGATTAATATCATGAGCATCGATCCACGCAATTGGGATTGATGACATGCATCAACCAAGTCAGCGAGCCCGACCACCGGAGTGAGTGAGTGAGTGAGTTTAAAGTAGTTTTGAATTTCAGTTACATCACCGTGTGCTCGTTCAAGGGGGAATTCCCGAAGTTGTGCGCCGGCCTTAATAGACGTTAACCAACATGCAGAGATGTGTCTCTTAGCGTTTTGACATGTAACCAAAACAACTTCCAGCCTTCATTTTTTTTGTTCTTATGAGAAGACGAAATGCATTTTCTGTAACACAGCAGTAGCAGTAGCAGTAGCAATGGCAATGGCAATACCAGGAGCAGCAGCAGTAGTAGTAGTAGTAGCAGCAGCAGCAATAGAAATAGCAACGGCAGTAAAAGTAGCAGTGTATATAGTAATGGCAACAGTAGTACTAATATACACCAATAACGTTCTTTATGAGGAAAACCTATTCAAGGGGGTGTATTACAATAAGTACAACCGCCTTACATTCTTCACATACTCGCCAGCATTAAAAACGCAATAGTGTTATAACAGCAATATCACCTTTTGAGCACGAACCTAGTAAACGATGATCAACTTTGAATTGATCTCCTAGCTGTTGGGTGTTCAAACCATATTTTATCCAAAATAAATATCTGGTGGCAAAACACAATGTTGAACATGTAACACAACCACTTTGAACAAAGTTGTGCTGCGCGTGCAAACTGTGCATCTTTAAAATCATGTGGCAGCGTTCAATTGCTCCACCAAAAATGTTGATTTTTCCGAATGCCGAAACATCCCAAAGACAGGTTACAGGGCGTTATAGTAGTTTGCGGCGCGTAGAGTCATGACAATTTGAGGTGCACCTCGTGTGACCGGAATATCCGTTTTCAGCACCTTCGAAATCGTGGCAGGAATGCTGTTTCTTCTACCACAAATATACAACCATCTTTCTTAAATGTCCGCGTTGTAACGTGTTGTGTTTTGTATGAGGTTTGATTGTAACAATATATACTACCGACCCAAAAGAAGTTAAAGAATAATGGGTTCTTCTCTGCTACTACAGTTAATCTGTCAAGTTTCGTCGTGAATAATTTTGTCACATTGCTGATTCGGCGTCAAGTTAGTATTCATTCACGATAAATGAAATATGTACTTGTTCTACCAAAATATAGTGTGTGTGTGTGTGTGTGTGTGTGGCATTAAAATGGATGTCGTGATATGCTGCAGTTGGCATTATTGCGTTACATTACAATATATGACTGCACGCGCGTGACTAACTTTATTATTTTTGCGAATTGCTTAATATTTTGAGATAAAAATATAACTATACAAAATCTGTCCACCCTTGATGACGAAAGTGGACATCTTGATAAATTAGACATAGCACAGCAACTAGATTTATGTTTGGCTACATCCGTGAACGTCTGATATGGCCCTCGTGTAGACATACACGTATACATGTATATCGTGATAAGACTCCAAGCAGGATGTGCGGCGTAAAATAAATAATTCTGTTTCATACATGGTGATATATCGATGTTAAAGGGCCCGTAATAATTGGCACTTAATTCAAAAGTGAATTTGCTTTGGATATCTTACCTTATTTCAAAATATAAATCCACACTGTAACCGTTAAAACACACTTAAGAAGCACGTTTTCATAATAGGCATAACGCATGCAATGCACAGTGAACAAAACATTTTGGTGCATATATACTTCTCAAAAAAGTTAGAGGGCACATGATTCTTTCATATTATTATTATTGTTGACCTGTCATGGCATTGCATGATTAACTTTAGTAATATGAAGCATCGGTGTTCTTTAACTTCTTTTGAGTAGTATATATACTGATGCGGATGGGGATATTTCAAGAAGGGGATTTAACTCTGATAATTACCATCCCTTTTTACATGTACAGTAAACTACGGTTATAACGAACACGCTTATAACGAACTGGCGGATATAACGAAATTTGTGGTCCCTTTGAGTTCGTTATAACCGTAGTTTACTGCATTTAAACTTCTTTGATAGGCATTTAGAAGTTGGAGTACTAAGTAAGGATAAGATAACGGTGTTAGAACCTTCACCGAAACGTCGCTCTTAAATTGTAATAAAGAAGTTGTTCATCCATAAATTCTTATCCTTACTTATATTTGAAGTTCAAAACATACGTCAAAACGAGGGGCAAGATAATTTTACCAAAATGTCTAAAAACTACTGCCACATTTGAAGTTATTACGTTTTGGAATGAACATAGATCGCGAATTTCAAACGGGATCCTTCATCATTACACTGTTTGCGTGTGCGGGATTTACTTTGAGTTATATTCAAGTTAGTGTTTATGAGACGTCCATCTCTGGCTCCCAGTAGATAACGGCACAAGCCATGTTCAATCCTATGTTAATAATGAGCTGCAGCAAAAACTACCAAATGTATGTCAGACGATTGGTCCGATACTGTTGTCTGTTATCCACGATTTTCAGTGTATTATATCTCCATCATATTAATCATGATGTAACTGTGATAATACGAGAATGTCGATGTCTGTGACAGTACCCAGTTATGCATGAGGACGAGTCCCCTGGTGGTAGATTGCCTGGCAACCTTCTGGGAAGTTATGTAAACCATATCGGGGGGCGTCTCAAAACCGCGATTCCTCCATTAAAACTCCACATTTTCATTTACAATCAAATTATGATCGAACCTTTCGTCATAAACTAATCGTTTAATATGTACTGGTTTTAGCTTCATTGATAAGATACCTCGTACAATTGGGCAACATATGTTTACTCAACTGTAATTAGAGCAAAGTACACGCTGATATCGTTGGGTGTACTATATCCCCTTTCTGTTTGTCAGATACGAAAGGTAAACAATATCACTATCAATAGATTCTTTGACGTCAGCTCTGACGTCAATCAACTTGAACTATGAACCTCAAACAAAAAGTCGGTATACATAGGTATCTATTTTTAGAAACATTTGCATAATATACTATACTTAGCCAGTCACGATGCTGTCACAGGCTAAATAGATCGAAGTTTAGTTGTTATATGCATAGGGATTGTAAACAAAGCATGTGCTTGTATGTTTTCCTACATGGTGTGTGTGGGCAACGCAGCGTGTTTATAGAGAGCCTTAAGCCTACAGATTTGTCAACGAACTGAGAAGGGGAATCCCCTAGTGTGGGCCGACCGATGGCTTTGTATTGTGTTATACACATTCTGTCCTCAAACTAATCCTGGCGTTCTACCGAGAAGGTAGGATTTCGAATTATATCGGTAGCATCTTGTTAACTTGCGACCAGTTTGACCTAAATGTGTTATCGTGGACTTCAAGTGGTTTTAACCAGAGACCATATACCGATCGAATATGGTCTCTGTTTTAACTTCACGTGTGCAGTTACCCTATAGGAGTCTTCGGTCTCCATAGCCTGTGTACTGCCACTGCGAGACCAATGTTACACACGCGGTCGTGCGTATGTTAGGGCAGTCTAGACGCGACATCGTACACATAGATGTGTAGTATATGTACTCACAAACATACAACCTACATAATTACATTTCCATATTTCAGGTAAACGGTAACCTATATTGCGGTGCTTGACTCGCAACATGACTGCCCCTACAGTTTGGCAGCTGGGCGAGGAACTGAAGGGGAAGCTGTTGCCCTTCCTCAGAGAGGCCAAGGAGATGAAGTGCAAAATTGACCTTGAGATCAGCAACAAGCAGGACGAGATGGAGTACAGCTCGGTGGTGCTGAGGACGTGCAAGGCGCCGGTCCCGGAGGATCCTAGGAAGATTAGGAGGCTCTGTGAAAGTGTCATCGAGAACATCCAGGCCACGATGGACAGCTATGAGCGTCTGCACAGGATAGCAGAGCATGGTGGTGGGTCGTCTTGCACATCTTATTGTATTTTTGTTTCAAATGTTACATTTTTTTGTGTTTGCTTTTTCTTCTCCTCAGCCTCGGTAAAGTTTCATTTGTTCAAAGTACCAATAATTTACAATGTCAAAAGATTTCCATTCAAGTATGTGTGTGTGCATGCGTGTGTGGTGTGTTACAGTGAGTCTGTACAAGTCCTAGATGAACTCCCTCTGTGTATGAAATATGTGCATGATGTTGCACTTTTAATTCTAATTCCTTCCATCTTCAGGAGTGCAAGAGACTGGTCAGGTGACCACCACCTGCCCCGATGAGCTGGATGATGAAGCAGGTCAGTGTCCATTCTGTCAAATAATGAATGAATCCAAGATCCTTTTCTCGGATGCAATAAAAAGTAACTGTTACAGCTGTCGTATGCCAACTTTACATTTACTAGTTACGACAACCAACGTTACAGTAATAATTAGTACTGGCATACCCGCATGTTACCATGGTTACAGTTAGTACTGTAAAATTCATGCTGCCACCTGTACAACAAATATCTGAGAAATAGTTCCTCAACATGATGAACTGATCTTATCTTCCCCTACAGAGAAAATAATTCTACCAACTCCAGAAACTGAACCACCGAGCCATTTCTGTGAAATAATGGTAAGTCTTCTCCTTTGTATTGAAGTGAGTGAGTGAGTGAGTGAGTGAGTGAGTTGGGTTCAACGCTGCTTTGAACAGTATTCCAGTTTTATCACGGCATGACAACTTCATGCGGGAGGAAAGCCTGAAGTGATGCAGGCCCAAGACGATTACCAATTTGGTGAAACCCACACACAGGTATGGTGCTGACAAACCTTGAAACATAATTGGGGTGAACGGAGATTCAAACCCACAATCATAGGTTTCCAGCATTCCCAAGGGACACAGCTCTGCACTATGAATAGCAGTGTCTTTGACGAATGGGCACCCATACCACACTGACTGTGTCAATGCAGGACAAGCCTAACTGACTTCCAGTTAAACACACGAGTGACAGGTCATCACCTTTAACATTCAACCACAAGATCAAATGCATTCTTTGGGATGATCATCACAATGCCTACTAATCCTGGTCCTTGTTCTACAAGCGTTTTTTTCACTTCAAGTAAGTATGGGAGTTACGATCATCTCAGCGCTAAGATCAATTGGTGGAACAAGGGCCAGGGCCCACTTGCACAAAGCGATCTTAGCGCTAAGACTATTGTATGCCTATGTTAATGTATGGGAGTTACAATCATCTTAGCGCTAAGATCACTTTGTGCAAGTGGGCCCTTGAATCTATACTGATCCATTAACTGAAGATGGTTAGTTGATAGCAATGACACAATTTTCTGGATCATAACTACTGCAATGACAAAGAGGTTTGTATGAATAAAGCACTATCACTCTGTGGGCACCTTCTGGAGGTCAACAATAAATTCCGTGATATGCATCTCCTCTATCTCCAAAGTAAAAGTAGGAATCATGGGAGAGGAGGGGGAGCATGTCCTTTTCTTAAACATTGCCTCCTACCTGTATATATTCTGGTCAACCACACTTTGTATATCACTTGCTGGATAACGGTGTTAGAACCTACACCGAAATGTCGCTCTGAATTGTAATAAAGAAGTTGTTCATCCCTAAATTCTTATCCTTACATACTACTCCAACTTCTAATCAATCAAAGAAGAAATTCATGAACTTTGCAGGATACCCAGGATGTGAGTGAGACTGACATACCAGATAGACAAAGGCGGACATCTTTACGCCCACAGCTTGTACGCAGGGGTGCAGTGGAGCATGTCGAGCAGGAGACGATTGACCTTGGGAAGTAGGTCAGCTGATGTAGAGACGGGGAAGGGGGACTGCCGTTGGAGGGCCATGCACAAACAGAAGGGATCTCATGGAAGTTACAGGTTCTTATTAAGGATTAATAGGGGACTGTACATTGGGCACTGACAATGACTGTACACTTTAATACTGGAAGGTAAAAATATTTTCTGTGTGAAAACCTACTCTATCAGGCATTATTTGTCACTTTTGTGGCCTCTGGTAGAGTTGTTTCACCGTGTCAACATGGGTTGGAGTCCTGTCCACAGATCCAACTCAGTACTCCTGTCAAGTCTAGCTGTTGCAAACAGCCGTACAGCCTTCCAAATTCATGCTAGTCCACTAGCCCAAGACTACTAAATTGTGCAAAGGGCAGGTAAAAAGTAAATGTTGATAGTATTTGAGGGTATCATAACGCCTATAGTTTTATATACCCCATGATGCACTAAGATAGTCCACTGCTAATATTGCTCAGATAAACCACCTACATGTCTCAATTCAATCAATGTCTTTGCACTTGACCCAATCTTTTGCTAATATGAAGTGATGAACCTGACTAAAAAGACTAAAGTCAAATTGGCAAAGATATAGCATTCAATATCAAACAAGAAGTGAATTCATTCCCATTTCACTACAAATTATAATGACCTTGTCATGACCTAGTTTATCTGTTTCAGGACAACTTGTTATAATATGTATGAGGTTATCATATGTATTCTATCTGTACATGATTAATATAGAGTCATCACCACATTAAGGCCATATCCAGGCTGTTTCCATACACACACACAATATTTTCAAAAACCATTGTCTCAGAACTACTTTTTAATTTTTATTCCAGGGCTTTACAAGGAATTTTTTGTCTGAATTCCAGACCTTTTCAAGGTAAACATTTGTATTCCAGGCAAACCATGGTACATGTACCTACAATTTTGTATACCAATAATGCAAGTGAACTGGTTCATCTTTTCCTTAGACTATGCATAGCTAATTAGCTAGGTTCTTCGTCCTTGCGTGTGACTTAACATGTTGCATAAAAGTGAGATGAATTGAATAAGGTGCTAATATATCTTTCACAAAATATTCTAAATTATTTCACATTGCTGCCTGTCTCAGATGTATGGCAGTTTTAGTATGAGTAACAGTGGTGTTGTAAGACAAGGCAGCTTGTTTCCTATAAGATAGGCATGCAGTCTTATATCTGCCCAAACACAATTGTGCACAGTATTTTTACCATAAGTCTGCTCAATGTAGTATACCCTGTCTGGCGCTCGGCATTAAGGGGCTAAAACAAGGACTGGTCGGCTCGGAGTCAGTATACTGTGTCTGAGTGGGGTATTCATGTCAAACTGCGGCATGGTATCTCAGTGAGCTAGCACTATAAATCGGCATCAGTCCGGACTAGTACAAGCAGCCACACAAACACATACACGTACATGCACGTCGCTATATAAGTGCAATAATCTTGGACGCGACGTTAAACCCCATTTCACCTCACCTCACCTCAATGTAGTAAGTACTAACGAACTGCTGATGTATTATCACTTCTTTTATGATCTCTCTTGCCTATTGTTTACAAAATAGGAATTCCAATGTTGTTAAAATGTCATTAAAATCAAATCATTTCTATGAATCAACACCTGTAACCATGGTAACTGTCAAGATTGCACACACCCTCAATTGGTCACTTCAGGTCAGCTGTCTAGTCAGCCAATGACCGAGTTGGTTCTAAATTCTTGATACGAAGCATGCCTCTAAAAGGGAATTTAAACGGGTAGTCCCAAATGGGGTATAATAAAGGTTGGACCATACATGATGTGGATATTTTATACATCCTTTTTTTTTCGAGTGCATTGCACCCGACTCAAAAACAGTTGACTGTCAAGGGAACATTTGTGTTTTCATTGGATTTTCTTTTAAGATTAAAATTTCCAGATTTAAGAGAAGACATAAAGCAGAATCCTTTTAGAAAGCTGACATTCATTTGTTCAAGAAACCACATGACCTTCCTCATGAATGGGCGGTCGAGTTCACTAAGGGTTCACCTAACATGACCTAGAGGGTTTATCACATCTTCACAGAAAGGTACGGAATCGGAGTCAAAATCTGATTTTGATAAGCTTGAATGCCATAATTGTCATCAGAAACATCATAATTCAAAGGGTGCTTTGCAAATATCACATGAAGATGATTTTTGCTGTGTTTATTGTCCTGCTTCATTCCATAACCTATTGCCATGATTGCTTGTCAGAAAACCATACTCTCATGTATGTCAAGCTATGTATGAGTTATGTACAAAACATGTGTTCACTCTTAACATCTTATTCGTGAGGTGGATCATATTTAGTTAAATCTTGAAAATGCTCATTTTGTAATTTAATACTTTGGAAATAAATGTTTCAAACATACAAGACTTATGTATTCTTTGAGTGAGGTGAGTTGAAAAAATGGGTTTCATTATCATGTTCAAGATTATTGTGTGCGTGCATGCATGCGTGTGCAAGTCTGGACAACTGCCAGCCCACTGAGATACCATAGTTTAACATGGATACCCTACACAGGCTCACTATACTGACTCGGGGCTAACCAGGCCTTGTCTGCCGAGTGGCCGGCAGGGTAACAAGTACCATCTCTGTACATTGTTTGGTATGATGTCACCCTGGGATCAAACCATCAACCTTCAGCTATCTGGGCAGACAATCTATCTACTAGACCATGGAGGCAGTCTCTGTATTCTATAAGGGCAAAGCGATACTTCATTATCGCTCAAAAGTGAAGTGACTTTGTCTTACAGAAATTGTTTACAGAGGGCACGGGTGGCCCAGTCGTCTAAGGCGCCGCAATTCTCAGAATTGCATTCCTTGGGCACGCCAGAAACCAGTGATCGTGGGTTCAAATCCCGGCCCACCCTGATTATGTTTCTTGGTTTGTCAGCACCATACCCGTGGAAAACGTCTTCGACTTGCATCAATTGGGGCTTTCCGCCCATGTTAGGCAGACACGCTGTGATACACTGGAATGCTGGTCAAACAGCGTTAAACCAAACTCACTCAGTGTTGACCAAATGATTGATGTAATGGTGGATTGTAAAGTGTTCAGTCCCAGACTAGCCAAATAAATGGTCGCTAACTTGATCAAAGATCCATGTTGTCTGTGTATCGTGACATCCATTCAGTAATGAGGCGCTGTATATAACAGACATGGTACAGGTAAACATTACTTTGTGGGACCAAGGTACAAAAATAGATGCCATTTTTATTACAGTTTTCAGTAACAAGTATATAAAAAAAGCATTTACATCCTAACACATGACAAAAAAAGTACATTTCACATTCATTGCAACATAAGCAGCACAGAGGACAGTCATGAACAGTAGAATATACTTTATTCCAATCACATTGGAACTATCACAGTGATAAACACTTCTGGTTAATACTTCACTAATAAGGGCACTACCTCTCTAGAGATTACAAATTATATTTTAAGTTAATCTATACTGCAGTTATAGACCCTAACAGGAGGAATATATCAGTGTTTTTTGTTTGTTTTGTTTCTTGTTTAACGCCGCACTCAGCAACATTCCAGCTATATGACGGCAATTTGTAAGTAATCGAGTCTGGACCAGACAATCCAGTGACTGACATTATGAGCAAAAATCCATGCAGTGGGGATACGATGACATGCATCAACCAAGTCAGTAAGCCTTACCATCCGATCCTATAACTGTAGTCATATGAAAACATTGGATGTTTAACTTCTTTTGAGTACCCGGTAGTATATATACCTAACCTGGATGACAGTGAAGATGTGAACAGAGAAGCCACATATAACAGACAATTTCAGGATCAATCTTTAATCCTGTGAGCTATATTTCTAATTGTCGAATTATTGATGCAATTGTTATTTACATTATACAACATACTCTGATTCAAAGTCTCCTCTTGTTGCCATCCGAATACACAAATTACTAGCCCACCAGTCAGCTGGTCAACCAATGACAAACACACCAAACTGTTCAATCACACTTTTAAAAGAACCTAGATCTGTCCTTCGTCAACCACATGATCCATCTTTCCATCCATCCTTCCATCGCTCATCAACCCGTCTACAATCGAATTCTGGTTTCCCAAGTTTGCGATTCACGTCATTATGAAGACGGCATAGCCATTGTGAAAACTGATGTCTATTGCTTGTATCAGGAGTGTTTGTCTTCAGGCTGAGAAAAGAACAAAAACAAATATGTCATGTGTTTGTTAACAAAACAAATAAACTCTGCTGTATACTTCCTGAATCTAGCTATTACAGCTGTGACGTCACTCTGTTATTTCAACTGTAGAATATCTGTACCGAAATGGCAAATGCAAATTTTAAACTTGTCAAGTCAAAGGACATGCATTATGATTATACTGGCTACAAATCAAATCTCACAAAATGTTCGTAAAATATGGGATAGTTCAAATGCAGCTTTCATATCGAAGCACAAAGTTAAAAATTCTTGTGCATTACCGAATACCTTATATAGGTGTTGTATTTATATTCATTTATTTATTGATAGATTTTAAATATGTTTAAACATTTTTTTATAATTTCAAGTCTGTATAGATAACGCACACGAAACTAGACATTTGTTACAGATATTTGTAACATTATTATTACATTATTTGAAACATATGTCCAGTTTCTTACACCTTCACATACCTCTGAAAAGACAATTTGTTCTCGGAGGGGAATCAGTAAAAAACAGTTAATGAGGACAAGGTTGACTTTTGGATTTCAGCTTCTATATTCTTTCAAATTCTTTCAGGTTTGGCGTAACACTGCAGACATAACTGCACATTCAACTAAGTCAAAAGCTGTAGTAATGCATATTTGCATATTATCTAAAGAATGTGGGCATGTATCTGTATTTTAGTATACATTATGCTCAAAGTTTTCATCACAGCTTCCTGAACATTGTAAACAATAGGGGGAAAAGTGTATATTCCTAAAGATAATATATCTAATTATCACCCAAGATTGGCTTCCACGGGAGATACAGTGGAATTGCATCACAATGCTAAGCCATTGTGATGTCATTGTTTACCATTTCACCATCATGAAATGACATCACTAATCTCTCTACCACTGAAGCTGGTTAGCTTTTCACACTCAAGACACTGCTTATTACTTATTACAAACTGGAAGGAAGGTTTCGGATGATGAATGGAAACTCACCCTTGTGTCTTTTGACATCAAATATATAAACACTCATTGAGCGGCAAGCCTCAAAGTTTTAATCTTTTATCAACTCGTGTTGAAATATTTGATATCAAAAGACACTCAGTCAAAGTTCGAAATAAGCGCCTGCCCATAGGACCGTGGACGTCTTGTGTCAGCCCCTAGTTTCAGATTTGTATGGGTCATTATGGCTTGCAGTAAAATTGTGTGTCGATTTGTTTGTCACAATAAGCTGCAGTTTTTTTAATGAGGGCCTGATGAGTTTGTTGAGTTGTGGCCGGACACTTCCAAAGTCTGTGAGACCTGATGGCCAGTCACTTGGAAATATTTTTTATATTAAACACAGCGCTCGGGTGAATTCTCTGTATTAAGGTAGGTCTCTTACTTTTGCCTCAGGTCTTCAGCACAGTAATCACAAGGGTAGTACTTGGAGAAGAGATGGACAAAGTCCTTCATCTCTTTCTGCTGAACCTGTGAAGGAGACTCTGGGAAGTAGGCCGCCATCGTGTGTAGGAATGACCATGTATTCCGACCCAAGTCATCACGATCTAGAGGGCACTCAGCTGGTAGTGGGGCAGAATTGGTAGTTTCTTCCTGAAACCATGTTCAATCAATAAATAATTCAGTATCACTTCAAATTTTACCAGATATATTTAAATACTGTTCACAGTCATACTAAATAACCTTGGTTTAGGCTATTGTACTGTTCTAGTTTACTGTATCAATCTACTCAGGTGCTTGAACATGAACAAAAGGGCCAGATGATGCTGAAGTCTCCATCTTTCTTAAACAGGCAAAAACATATCTGAATTAATACAGAAAACTGTATCTGTTGATAAAGGTTGAGAATATTAGGTGAACAAAATTTGGGAACCAATTTTAACCTGGGACTCAGCGTGTTATGTTGTGCTCCATGAAGACATCTTTATTGTGGAAACTTAATGGAGTTAAACTGTATGGTTTTTTTGTTTTGTTTTTTGTTTTTGGGGTGTGGGGGTGGAGGGGGTGGGGTGTGTGATACTGTTCTATTTTATCAAATAACAAAATTATCGGGATGGGAGGGTCATGAATAAATGTTATATGTATTAAAGGGCATGAGAAAATGTAACATAACATGACGGCTCCACAGCCCTCCTGTGTGTATACATAGTGTCAAATGTGACCTGTACATCATTTGAAGTGAGGACAGAAATTAGCTTCTAAGTAAATTTTCATTGTACTACATGATTATTCTAGATAAGTGAAATTTTACTCATCAAAGTCTGCAGTTCTTTAACAGAAGTGCACAGTATCAATTCATTTCTTTAAACTGCTGAAGGATACTGTAAAATTCTGTAATAGTTGAACCAGGTCTGGATTCAACAATAGAGATGTATGTGTAAGAGTGATTATTATCACTGCACACCTTGTAATCGCAAGGCAAGGGAGGTAACCTGTGTTGTATTTTCCAAATGCCAGCAGTATTATGAATGCAATAAAACTTTCAGATACATTTTTTCAGTTAAATGCTATAAATGTGAAAAAGTATAAAAATGGAAAGTGTCCCACATTCATTCCTTATGCTACTGCTTGCATTTATACTTCTCTGGTTTCAAAAATTGATCTTATCAACTTTGAACACAGCAACCATTTACCTGATTCACTAGCGAGGTAATGACTAGATTGGACCATTTGGATCCTCTGATGTCACATCACAATGAATTATAAACAAAATTTGCTTAAAACAACACAATTTTGTTGATATATATACAATGTGTTACATGTTACATATATTCCAAACCTATAGCAAATCCGTAATAATACAAGAGAGTACTGTTGTGGTCGAGATGTCAAACATCCAGTAACCTGAGTTCAGCACCTTGAAATCTAGTGTTGTGTCCGGAACTGTTAACCATGTTAACCAGAGTCCATATACCCGGTACCGATCGGAGTTTTCAGGCGGTTTCACAATTCAAACCAAGACGGAAATAAAAGTATGACCACTCCTGCTTGGGATACTTCTCCTTGTTACACACAGTCTCCTGATATTGGTGAACTGAAACTGTAACGTGTATAATTTTGTTTGATTTTTTTAAACGCCGCAGTCAGCAATATTCCATCTTTCTGACGGTGATAGGTAAATAATAAAGTCTGGACCAGACAATCCATTGATTGATATCATGAGCATCGAACCACGCAATTGTCACACGATCACATTCATCAACTAAGTCAGCAACCCTGACCAGCCGATCCCGTCATCCGCATCTACTCGCCTCTTACAAGCATGGGTTATCGTCACGGGTCGTAACTTGTACTAAATGGGTATTAAGTAAGTGAGAATTAGAGTTTTTAATTTAAGTCAAACATGTTCAGGTGCATAATTTAGTCGATAATTCTAATCAGTTCACTTTGAATAAATCTATTACAGTTGAATACATCAATGATCAATGATTGACAGTAGCTTTCATCAACTGATGCATGATGAAATTGATGATGAGTCATGCCCACAACCATTGTGTCATGTTACAATTTAACACATATACTCCATCTTAACCTTTTTAGGGGTTTTCCCTTGCATTTTCATCCATGTTGTGAAATCGGTGCACGTTCTGCAGGGTTTCTTAGATTTCTGATCATGTTTACCAAAATCAGGCATGGGCGCCGCCATGTTTTATCAACACTTCCGTTTTGCATTCGGAACATTCTCGCATCAGTTAATAAACACACGATACATTTGTATCACCCACAATGCCGTAACTAGCCGATAAAAGCCGAACGACCCACTTCCTGTTGAAAGTGCGCATGTGTCAATAGACCATCAAAATGGCCGCAAGGAGTGCAACGAAAGGTAACTCACAAACAATTGCGACGATTAAACAGTCTTTAATGAGTGTATATAGTTCTATCAGTGTTCTAATTCTAACTTAAAAACTGTTAGAGAGTTGAGCTGACTGTCATGAATGCACACCATATTATGGAGTGACACTTTTGCAAACGCTTCAGATACCAAGTTTTTGTTTCACCTTGAAATATCTTCATTTACTAAAGGATATAGAGAATATATTATTCTATATTAATTATAATGTTTCTCTTTTCTGTTGTTGACTAGGTGTATCTCTCATCAAAAGAGGCTGGCATGAAATTCCTGAAGTGGTTGGTTCAATAGCCATGTGTGCATTAGGTTGGTATTTCAGGCCATAGATGTGTTAATGTAGATAGTTTAGGATACTAGACGATCAGATCCATGGAGATTCGTACCTACAGAAAATTGCTAAACTGTTACAAAAATTCCTGTCCAATTTATACCTGTGTTGGAGCATTCATATATTATTTGGCCCAAGTGTACACAAATTTGGAGGACCCATACACAAACCTAGATGATGCTTACACAAATTTGGAAGACCTGTACCCATTTATTTTCAATTCACATTTCACTCTCTATGTTGATTGGGATAATTGGTGTTTATCTCTTTGACTTGTGATTATCCCTTAGACTAAGCATCAATTAACACATTCAGTGTCCCACACAAGCAGTTCCCACACATCAATTAGTGATCTTTTTCCAGCGATCTTGTTATTTTAACTCTTTGTCATGTTGTTTTAGTATAAGTACTACAAGTCAGTCGAGGTAACAAGAAGTCTACACAGTAGATAATTGGACTACCCATGTGTTGTTAATTAAATACAAAACAAACAATATCTCAACATGCTCAATTGAAAACCTGTTTTGCTCGACAACAATATAGGGATCTATACCAAAACATCGCCTTTATAGTAATTAAGGAAGTTGTTATCCATGAGTTGTGTCTACTCTGTTTAATCAATGTTTTGCAGTAGAGCTAAAACTTTTCAGAGCAGTTTGGAAGTGCTAAACAGATTTTCGGGAATTCAAGCTATTGTTTCAAAATCACATCCGGTCACCACAGCATCTACATTTTCAAAGATCACAACCGGGTAATTGCTACAGATAAGAATAAATTAAAAGAAGTGAATAATGTTTAAAATCAAATAATTTGCATTGTGTATGAATAAGCTTTTTGAGTTGTCCAGTTGATTAGGTGCGGGTGGGTATGGGTTATCCAACATTTGGGTATGAGTCCACCAAAATATACAAGGTAAGGATCTCTGGGAGGAGTGATTGTCCAGTTCCTGTTTAGATAAATCTTCTGCATATTTGCCTGTTTACACCCTTAAAGGGGAAGTGTACACGCAAAAATCACTTTCTTTCTTTTTCTAAACAAAACGCAATTTTAGAATTAATTAGTATCTGTGTTTGAAAATATACGATCATTTTTTTCACAGTGAAAGTAGGAAGCTCACAATAGTGTGAAAATGATATGCCGTTATGAGGCCTTCGTTTTTCGAGCTAAACAGGCCTGAGTTATCCCCCTTAGATTATGACGTAATTGGTGCCAATTCAACTGGGTCCCTGTCTATTCTCAACGCAAAAGATATCAAGTACCAGTTTGCGGTAAAACAACATGGCCTACGACACACTCCGGCGCAGTGGTGACTCAGCATAACACTATGCTGGCTGGCATCTGAGACGCTAGAATCACACATCTAGACCTACACCACGTGAAGCGGCTCTAACAAAGCATGATGACGTCATAATGTTTATCAATTGGCACCAATGACGTCATATTGCAAGGGGCATAAGCCATGGTGTTTTTGTTGTGGAAATAGAACACTTGGTAAATGTGAAAAATATAAATCGTTTTAATGCGAAAAATATGTTAATTAATTGTGATATTTTTATATTTTTGTCTATGACACTTCTAGGTTAACACTTTTAATGTGGAAAAAGTACAAGAAAAATAGGTTAATTTCCGTGTGAACTTGCCCTTTAACACATATAAGGGACTGTTAATTCATTATAGTGTGTGTGTTTGAACAGGGTGTAAGCAAAATTTATCACAATATACCCCCATCTGCTATAGTACATAATAAATTACCAGACCTGTTCTGTCCTAATTTATTGATGAGCCACATGGCTCATGTTTACATCATTAAGGTCAAGGTCACTTAATGACAGGGAGTTCACATCATGTTCTGACATCATGTTATTACATTAAACATGTCCTTTGTTTACCAAAGACCAAGCTGACAAAGTTTGGGCAGAGGTCATTTGCCTACAATGCATGTGCTCTATGAAACCATCTCCCTTCAAATGTGAAAGCGACCTGTGAAGATACGGGGTAGAATAGGTCTTCAGCAACCCATGCTTGATGTAAGAGGCGACTAACGGGATCAGGAGGTCAGGCTTGCTGACTTGGTTGAAGCATGACATTGTATCCAAATTGCATGGATCGATGCTCATGATGTCAATCACTGGAATGTCTGGTCCAGACTCGATTATTTACAGACTGCCTTCATATAGCTGGAATATTGCTGAGTGCGGCGTTAAACAACAAACATCACATCAAATATGAAAGCAGAAGAAACTCCAACAATCTTCCAGTCCCAAGACATTCCTGTACACTCTTTTTATCAAATTTAAAATCAACACCAAGTGTCACGTCTATTTGTCTTGTATCTATGACCTAGTAGAGTTTTCCTCCATTTTATGCAGTGTTGTGAGCATCCATCTAGTGTAGGCATTACAAATGTAATTATTGTTATTACTGATGATGATGATGATGATGACGACACTATGCCACGCCTGTATTCAGTTTAGACTGCAATGTTGCGGGAAGTAAAGGGTCTTGGGGTTTGAGCCAGTTGTTTCCTTGGGTACAACCCTGTAAGATGACAGAGAGGTACAACAGAAATAACAAGCCCCCAGAATGAATCGATTGAAACATGATCAGATTATGTAATTGTATTACTCTTGCAGACTGTTCCAAAAACTTTTACCCAACTAGACATTCCAGATAGTAAAAAAATTTAGCCACAAGCCCTGGGTTAGTTCAGTGGCCCGTTATGGTACATCATTTAGGGACTTGTATGCATGTATCTCAGGTTAATCACAGGCTGCTAATTATTTAGAGTAGTACAGTTTCAGAACCATTGCATTGTTCTGCTGCATAAATGTGCATTAATTTGACAAATATTCTGTTTCAGTTATGTTTAATTCATGGTGTAGCAAAGAACGTATTTTGCCTATTCACCATGTTCACTGTATTAGTTTCAACTGGTTGATGACAGATTCATGTGAGGAAAACATTACTAGACCAATCAGGCTACCACAGAGAATGCTCCAGTAGTCCAACAGGCTGTTGTTCTGGACGCTTTGGACTTAAGCAGTGGCTAACATCACAGACTGCTCTTACCTTACCTTACTCTTGCCATTGACAATCAAATCACAAGAATGATCATAAGTTAACTGATTCAATTTATTTATTGTTCACCATGCCTTTTCATGTAAAATAAAGTGACTGAGCAAACTTTTTGCATGTTAAGTACATGAAATATGTGATCTTTACAGCATATGAGCATACATGGTTAAGGGTGCCATGCAATAATATCCTGTAGCTTCTCTGTCACATAGACCTATAGATCTTCCCGAGGCAAACATATCCACTAGCCACAAAGCCTAGTTTCTACCCTTGCCACATCTAGGCCACTTTTCTCGGCGCAACCCTGGCACCCTTCACGTAGATCACAAGATGTGCCCCTTGTAATAGAAATCAGATCGCAGTTCTTATCTTATATAGCTTCACAAAGATGGCGACTACCATAGGCGATGACCCATTCACAACTTCATCCCTGACAGAAAAAGATAGGCAATCGTTGAGATGTTTAAACAGTTAAAAGATGAAAAAGACATATTCCTGTCAACAAGGACATGCAGTGGTAAATCACTTTCATATTAAGGTGTACCAGTCGTTGATCATGTGTTGATGTTGATTTTGATAAAAGTTCTCTGATTGGACTATCCATATGTACGATAGTCCAATCATATTAAGCACACGAAAGTGGGCTTGATGTGGCAAGAGTGGAAACAAGACTTTGATAAAAAGGCTAGTGAACTCTCTTGCCTTGGGAAGATAAGACCCTGAGAGGATTACAGGTCAGAATATGTGATTATGTTTCCAGTTTTTTCTGCTTGCTGAAAGAGTCCCATTCTAATAATGGGAACTTGGCTGACTGTGTGTCATCCATGAGCTGTTGCTCATGCTTTCAATCACTGGTTTATTGATGGGTAAACATGGAATACTTCTGCTGTGTTAATCAACATTCCATTACTAACTCTCACATAGAATTTCCTGTTCTCTGAATAAAGTAGTGAATTATTAATACTATAAATAATGATACGACTCACAGAACAATTTTAATGAATGATATTATTTTCAGGTATAGCTTCATTTGGAGTTGGAGCCACCATATGGTTAAGAGACACAGAGTCGGCTCATCAACATAGATACACCTACTCAGGTAAAGATGAGAATTTAAGGGCAGCATTATTTCTGGAAATGAAGCTAAATGTACCTGGTGGTCATACTCAGGATTTCATTGATAAACTGTTTATTGTGAATAGTTTTCATAATATCAATCACTAGTCCAGATTATTTACAGGCCTCCGTCATATGGCTGGAATATTACAGTGTCAAACAAACAAAACAAGTCAATGGCTGGATTGTTAGTGATGGGTTTTTGAATTAGTGGAAATGTAACTAGGTTTTACAAGAAAACTGGATTTCACTGTTTCAAGACAAACAGGCAAGTGACTCAGAAATGTTGATGCTTGTTTGGTTGA